GTGGACGGGTACCCCAGTGATGTCCAAAGGGCCATCCCAGACCCTGGGCCTCTGTGAAAGCTAAGTAAGCTTGTTTCTCCCCCCCCCCCCACTTTGCCAGCTTTTGACTGTTGGTCAGCCATTCCCTGATCTTTCTTCTGCTAGCAGGGATGGAAGGAGAAGGAACGCCCCCCCCCCCTCAGACTGGTAGGTCCCACATCGACAACTCCTCCGTAGTTCACAACAACAACAACACAGAATCGTGTCGGTCCTCTGCGTTGACTGGGTTGGACCGTACGTCGTTAGTTCGGGACTTAACACTTTACCATAAACGTTCTGAATACTGGGTCTGTCCGACAACTACATGGTCTTAATGCCACTTCCGGACCCTGCTTCTCTGGTCTCTTAGAAGGCCAAGGCTGGCCGAGCGCCAGGCTATGCCCTGATCTTGCAGAAGACCCAGTTCGGTCTAGTGAGGGAAGGCACCAAGCTAGAAGCTGGGAGTTCTAGTCCCACCTTAGGTATGACAGCCGTCTGGGGGGAACTTGGGCCGGACACTCTCAGCCCAGCTCACCCCCCAGGGCTGCTGTTGTGGGGAAAACAGGAGGAGGAACTAGCATTAGATACATTCACCGCCTTGCTCATAAAAATAACAAAGGCGGGATATAAAATAAATACTTGGCTGCGTGTCCAGAAACGGCTCCTTTTCTTCCCTGTCTGCAGAAGAGTCTCCTTCCACTGCCTCTACCACGCCTGATTCTACAGATGGTGAGTATGCGAAGTGCAACCCTGCAGGCTGTGGCTGCCCAAATCCGGCCCTGGCGTTTGTGGCCATGTCACCCGGTGTGGGGAGCAGGTAGCACCCCAGGTAGCACTGGGGCGGAAGCCCCACCTGAGCGGGCTGCTCTTTGGCCTGCGGGGCCTGTGGCTGGATTTGCAGGCCCAGCGCGATTCCTCTGATCCAGCGAAGGGACCGGGCAGCCTTCCCAGAGGCCTCCCCTACTGCAAAAGGGGTCCTTTCCTCCCGCAGGAGCCAACGAGGAGTCCGACTTCCCTGAACTGCAGACGGCGCGGGAGTTTTCAGAGGAGGAGGAGGAGGAGGAGGGCTCTGTGGAATGGGGGACCCCCCGGGAGCTGACTTTCTCCTACATCACCATTGCCACCCCCTCCGGCAGCAGCCCCAGTGCAGCAGAGCATCGGGGCAGGCGTGACTCCCAGACCCGCCGGACAAGGGCTCTGCTGCCCCGCACGGAGACTTGTGAAACTTTTGTGCCCGCCCTGGGGGACAGTTTGGAGAACATTCCCAGCCTCTGCCCATCTCCGGAGGCGGAGGGAGCCCTGCCTTCAGGCGGTGGCCCAGGACCGGATGACTTTCCGTTGGACTGGGTTTCCCGGGTGGGCCCTGGCAGGGACCTGGACGCAGCCGGAGAGGAGGAACAGGCATCTCCGTGCCCCACGCCCCCATCGCCAGCGGTGGAGACGGCAGGAGGGAGCAGCACGGCTTGCTCAGGAACAGGTAGGGAAGGAGCGTCTCTGAAGGGCAGCGGAGGCTGAATTCTGCCCTGGCCAGCCATGCTGGGTTTTGCAGGAAAAAGGGCCACGTTGGAGAGCCCAGAAGAAGAAAAGACACGGGTCCCTGGTGCCCTCTGAGCCTGGTTGTCTTCTGCAGGCGTTTTGTCAGTGCTAGAAGGCAGTGGGGTTTGGGAAGTGGGAGGAAGAGGAAGAGGAAGAGGAGGGCAACTGTGGAGTCCTTAATGCCATCTGAGCTTGGTTTGTCTTCTTGCAGATGTTTCATGACCCAACCAGGGTTGGCTTCTAGCATTGGAGACGTCACCCAGCCGGGCCATGAAACCTCTTCAAGAAAACAGCCCGAGAGCACCAAGGACCCACAATTCAACCCTGGGAGACAGGAAGTGGGGCTGGCCCATTCCTGTCTCTAGTGGTTTGCCAAAGAGGGGAGAGATTTTCTAAAGGGTGGAATCTGGGTGGGATTTCTTCAGCCAAAGCATCATGGTGGGATTCAGAGTCCTATCCATCCGTGGCAATATTTGATCATTTGGGACGCCCAGCTTTGTTTCTTAAGGGAAAATCAGTCAAAAACTGTTCAGCGTGTGGAGAGTTGACCTGTTTATTTTTTTCAACATGAAAAGCAAAACATGCTTTCAGACTGAGGCGAAGAGGGCCCTGTCGGACCTTTCCCGCTCTTTACTCCGATGAATTTAAGGGGAAGGGCTGGCACAGTTTATCCCCCATCAGACGGCTCCACCGCTCTTGCCAGGCTGCCCACCAGCTGCCTTAGGGGCCCAATTCACATCTGTAGGCTGAGCGAAGCGAGAGGTCAACCTTCAAAGTGCAGATGTTGGAAATCCAGAGCAGCGGATCCTGACCTATGCGCCACAGAAACGCTAAGGGATTTCTGAATTTGAAAAATAGCCAACTCCTTGCGAAGTGGTGCTGAGGGCAGCTTTCCTGAGAGCGAGGCCAAAGTGCCGCCTGGGGGGAGACCAGGAAAGGCAGCCGGACTGGGAAGGGCCAGTGGGGAAATGGGCCCCATTGCAGATCTCGTTGCCCAGAGCAAAAGGAGGGCCCTGAGACCGTCTTTTCCTGGTTTTGAACCCTGCTCCAGATGACCCCAGGGAGACCCTCTCTCTACCTGCTGCCTTAGCCTCCCACTCCGAAGCAGGCGCCTCCTGCGGTGCTGACACCCCCCAAGACCGAGCACTGACCTCAGCAGAGTTCTGCCAACCACCCCCAGAAGAGGAAGAGGAAGAGGAAGAGGGGCCCGGCCAGGAACCCCATCCTGAGCAGCTCCACGTTGAACCAGAGCAGTCCGAGAACATCTTGAACATCCCAGGTGAGCTGGCTGGCACGAGAAAAGGGGCATTTAGATTGGCCAGGCTAGCAGTTGCCCCCAAAAGACTTTCCATGGTAGCTACAAGGTGCCAAGGAAGTGATAGCCCCCCCCCTTTAGCCATTTGTACTAGCATCTAACTCAGGGCCAGGTGTGCGATCGGGGGCTTCGCCTTGTTGCAGTGCTGACCCCCACCTGGATGTTTGGGGCGTACCAGTCGCTCTGCTCATTCAGAGGCTCTGGAGCTGGGTTGGCACCGGCATTCATCGGGGGCAGGAGTGAGGGGAACACACACCCACCCAGGCTTCTGGGCTTTGCTTGGGGTCTGCCCAGCTGCCCCCTCTCCAGCAGGCATGTCAGATTGCAATGCCAGCATGTTGGCAGAGGGTGATGGGAGAAGTAGTCAAGCTCCTCTAGCAGGGCCAGGATGGGAAAGGCAGGTCACTTGATTAGGCTGCCCAGCATTGAGGAAGAGGCGTTGTGAGGAAGAGGGTTTGTGAGGAAGAGGCATTGTGCGTCTCTTCTGCTTCCCCACCCGCCTGGAGTTTCCAGAGGTTCCACCTGGGCCTTTTGCAGAGCTACGTAGAAGTCTGCCATTGGCATGCAGATAGTCCTCGACTTACAACCTTTCATTTACTGCCCATTTGAAGCTACAACATCACTGAGAAAAGTGACCGTTTTTCACGCTTTGGACCGCTGCAGCATCCCCACAGTCACGTGCTCGAAATTTGGACCCAACTGGTTCACATGACGGTTGCAGAGCCAGGTGGTCCCCTTTTCCTGGCCGCAGTTGTCCCCCTGAAGCCCTGCGGGGGAGGGGCGGCCTGGGCTGCCCTCCCGCCTTTGCTGGCCCTGGTAGGACTGTTTCTCCCAGGAAAGGCCCTTATTCAGGCCCCTGGCACGGAGCCCGGACCGGGATGGCAGCCGCATCAAGTCAAGGCGTATAAATAGCCCCAGAGCTGAGCCAAGCAGAATTGGAGCCCTTGAGCCTTCCGCCGCTCTGCCCTGCCTCCCCGAGCAAGGACGAGGAGTCTGGGCCCGGCCCAGGCTCAAGAGCCCCCCCCCCTCGCCGCCCCCCAGCACCAGGCCCCTCTCGGTCTGGCAGAAGAGGCTCCGTGGCTGACAATGCAGGATTTCAAAAAAAGAAACGCACCTCTCTCTTGCTAGCGCTGCTGTTTTAATACACACTTAGCTACCGCTCTGAATTGCAATGCTGGCCACACTGGCTGGGCATGATTGTAGCTGTAGTCCAAGGCTTCCTGTTGGCTTTGCTTCAAGCACACGAATTTGTGGCCTTCCGTGGGGCCTGCTGAGTTGCTGCGGCCAGGCGCTTCTCTTCCGGTGAGGCCTCCTGGGAGTTGAGGTCCACAAGCCGTAAAGTTGCCAAGCTTGGAGACCCCTGAGTTAAAGCATGCGTCCCCATCCCCACCGTCAGAGCTGTCCTTCTCCCAAAGAAGGGGAGGGGTGGCAATGAGGACCCCCGCCTCTCAAATTAGGGTCAAGGGGCTGCTGAAAAGCACCTTCCGGCTCGTTCCTGAGATGGTGAGTCCGCAAAGACCATCTCCCTAGCATCTGAAAAAGAGCGGCCTTTTGTTTTCCAAGCTTCAAGTCCTCAAGGCCGTGCTTCATGCATAACAGCACCCAAACTCAGAACACCGGAGACAATGAAAGACATGCTCTCATACCTCGTCATACATGGAAATAGCCGCTCTGGAAAACAGTCGTTGAGGCAGCCTTGCAAGCTGGAATGTGGGCACCAAGGCCAAGCCCCCAATCGCACGCCTGGCCCAAGTTAGTTGCTAGTGCAAATGGTTGGGGGGGGGGCTCACTTCCTGTGCTCCCAGGCTCTTGCTGTGCCGGGTCAGCCGGAATCGGTCACTTTGAGCCCCTCAACCCCAGCGTGCCCGGCCCCTTGTTGCTCACCTTCCTGCTTCTTTGGGGGGGATCCTGCACCCCATCTCGAAGCTGCTGGCTCCCCAGCCTGCTGAGGGTGGGCAGCCCCTCCCTTTAAGGCTGGAGCCTGCAGAGCTGCCTCCCTCCAGCAGGACCAGGCGAAGCAGGCAGGGGCTCCGGAGGGGAGGAGGCAGCTGGGATTCGTCGGCTAAAAATAGCAACCCCCACCTGCGCTTCCTCAGCCCCCTCCCCTAAGCAGCCCCCCCTTCCAGCCCAGAACTGGTGCTCAGGGAGGTTTCCACAGAGCCGCGAGGAGCCTCAGAACTGCAAGAAAAGGGGATTGCCATGGCGAGCACAGGTGGGTCCCCCCCCCCCCCGGTTAGGATTATGCCCTCCGAGTATTGCCAGGCAGGGGAATCGGGGTGGGGGGAGGATCCTGGTTGAGCCACGAGGCCAGCTTGTTGGGGGGGGGGACTTTAACTGAGTGGGGACCCTGTCTGAAGGGAGGGAGCCTTTGGGGGAAGAGAAGTGAGGGGCACCATGTAAATTGGGGAGCAGGAAATAAGTCTTGTAGGATACAGATGCCAGGAGCCCCCAAACTGCCACGTTGGGCCTGCTTCAGACCGTCAGCCCTCCCCCAGGACCGTCCGTGCCTCCCCAGATTCCTTAAGCGACTGGACTGCATCTGGGCCTGTCAGTTAAGAGGGGGGAGAGTCTGGGACAGCTGCCAAGGCCCTGGGCGTCTCGCCCTCCCCGCCTCCTCCCCCCCGATGGGTGGGGTTCCTTCACGCCATCTTTGCAGAGCAGGAAAGTCTGGGACCAGCTTCGGAGCGATGGCGGCTTCTCTCGGGGGGGGGGGAAGAGAGAGAGAGAAAGTGGAAATGCCAGCCAAACGCCTGTCTCCCACTTCTCGCCCGCCCTGGGCTGCATCTGCAAGTGGTCGCATCCAGGGTGGAAGCCCCCAGTAAGGAAAAGTCGGCCAGGGTGTCTCAACCCATGCAGAGTGCTTGCCATGGGCAGCCACGCCTGGCAGGGGGCAGAGGCTGTGGGGCGAGGGGTCGTCGGCATCTCCTTTTTAGGAACATGGTGGAGAGGGGGGGACGGGAGGGGCCTCCAAGCTGTCTTTTTGCAGCCCCGGAGCTGCACCGGTGTGGGTCGGGGAGATGCTGCTGGGGGTTGGGATTGCCCCCTCCGGCCTCCTGGAATGGGAAGCGGGTAGCCCGACCAGGCTGGTGGTTAAACTGGCATCCTCCAGGGGAGCCCCGTGCCTTTGACCACAAGAGGCCAGATGTTTAAAGGACAGGAAGCCCAACCAGAAACAGCAGCCTCGTCCTGTTTAATCAGGGCCCCTCAGCTCTTGTTTTTAGGATGGAGCAAATTTTGCTTAATGTTAAACATGGGAGGGGCGGGGGGGGGCAACCTGCATAGGTTTCTTATTCAGAAACTCCCCCCCTCCCCATTTCCAGGACACACGCAGTTCGGGGCCCAGACTGACCTTTTCTTCATTTCTTGTCTGAAACCAAACTTTGTGTCTGGCGGGTGTGACATCGCAAAACCTCCATCTGGGTTTAAGGCTTGGAGGAAGGAAGAAGCTGGGCGGGGGAAGTCTAGGAAAAAAAGTCCCAGAGCCTCACGCAGGGACAAGAGGAGCAGGAGGATTTCACAAGTCCAAATGTCTCCTGGTTCTGGTGGATCTAAATTCAGTTCTGTGGGGCTCGAGGTGGGGTCTGTACATTAATTGGGGGGGGGAGAAGAAATTGGTGTGGCAGACTTGCTGCTGTGCCAAGTCTGAGGTTGTAGATCCTAGTGGCATCAGCTCTTGAGTCATTGTGCATTGTTCATGAGGACTAGCAGCATGGACGTTTTGTTCGCTCTCCCTTGAAAGCAAATCATTATTTTATTATTTCTTAAACGCAAATGCCGCCCACCTTACTATCAAGCGACTCCGCTGCACTTTCCCAGGGCTGGCAGCTTCTGATTGCTGGCCGCAACTCAGTTGTGCTTTGTCCTGACAGAACAATTAACCAGTGGAACGACTTGCCTCCAGAAGTTGTGGGTGCTCTGGAGGTTTGTAAGAAGAGATTGGACAGCCATTTGTCCCGAATGGTATAGGATAAGGGTGTCCGACTTGGAAACTTTAAGACTTGGGGACTTCGACTTCCAGAATTCCCTAACCAGCATAGCTGTTCCCAGCTTGGACACCCCTGCTCTAGGGTCCTGCTTGAGCAGGGGGTTGGACTAGAAGGCCTCCAAGGTCCCTTCCAACTCTTATTCTGCTTCCCCTGCAGTGGCCGACTTGGTGTACTGGCGGGACACCCGCACATCGGCCTTGGCATTCACGGCGCTGATGGTGGCCCTGCTCTGCCTGATGCACTTCAGCATCATCAGCGTGGCCTCCTACCTCTCCCTGGCCGCGCTCGGCATCACCGTCTCACTCAGAGGATACAGCAAGGTGCTGCAGCTGGTCCGCCGGGGAGACGGGCACAACCCCTTCCAGTGAGTAGGCCGGGCTCCTTGGGAGCTTTGGGGGATGGCTGGGGCACCGAGGGAAGAGTCTGCCAGTGGGGTGTCTTCATGCTTAGGTCTTGTGGCCTGGCTGACCTCTGGGGGTTCCTGCTGGAGGGGCACAACAAGACAGCCCCCCTGACACCAGGATGCTGCCCTCTCCTGGTTTCAATTGGGTGAACGTGGGCCCCTTGCCCTCCCCTGCAGTGGGGCTGCTGTTGTAATCCCAGACAATCCAGCCAAGGGGTTGGTCTCCCCGGATCTTGGGCTGCCAGGGACCCCAGTCTGGAGGGGGAAGGCGAGACAGGCAGGCATGGGTTTGGCTGAGTGATCTTCCTTCCTCCCCTCCCCTCCCCTCCCTTTCCCCTCCTACCTGCCTGCCAGGGCCCAGCTGGATGCAGATTTCGGGCTGTCCAAAGAACAGCTGGAGCGGCTGACCGAGCGGGTGGTGCATCACGTCACCTGGGGCACAAAGAATCTGCAGCGCCTTTTCTTGGTGGATGACATGGTGGAGTCCCTCAAGGTGAGCCCCAGGCAACTAAGGAACCCCTTTCCAGCTGAGCATTGCGACAAGCAACACCCCCCCCCAGCCACCCCCCAGCCTCTGCCAGAACTTTGCAGGCCACGAGGATGTCATCTTGAGGGTTCAGGCCCAATTGGTCCAAGGACCCCATGTCCAGCTAGATCGCACAGAATGGTTCCTCCATTAAAATCGACTTGCAACAGATTGCAATAAATCAGCATTTTTCAATCTTGGCCACCTCAAGACTTGTGGAGTTGAAGTCTTCACATCTTGAAGATGCAATAAACAGCCACAGAGATGCAGGCAAAATTCATCCCTTCTATCACATGGACTTTGTTGGGCCCGGAGTCAGGAAGGACGTGCCAAAAACCGGGCTGTGCCATGTGCCTCACTCTGGCCCAGCTTGCTTCCTCCTGACAGGGTGGGCACAGGCTGGGCACCTAACTTTCCAGAGCCCTGGCAGGATGGGACCCTCTGCCTTTCCTTCCTGGGGTCTCAGCCGGTTCTGACTTTCAGTGTTCTTTTTTTCCAGTTTGCGTTCTTGTTCTACGTCCTCACCTACGTGGGAGCCGTTTTCAATGGTCTGACGTTGCTTATACTGGGTAAGGGGGGAGTCTGGGAGGAGAGGGCCTTCCCGGGTGGGGCCCTGCAGGAATAAGAGACTGACCCTCTCCTTGTCTCCCACAGGTGTGATAAGTGCATTTACCTTCCCTCTGCTCTACAGGCAGCATCAGGTGAGTAGCTGGCTTTGGGGGGGAGGAGGAGGAGGAGGAGGAAGGTGCTGAAACTCACAATTGGCATTGAAAAAGGACCGGAGCAGAATCCATTCCTGCTGCCCTGCTTGCTTGGCTAAATATTTATCCTTGCTGATTAAGCTATCGGCCGTATAGGACACGACACCTCCTCTTCACGACCTGTTTTCCTTGTTCCCTTCCGGGGGGGGGGGGGCTTCGTGGTATCCGAAGCAGAACATTCAGATTCGGCCACAGTTTTGTTCCATGCACTGTTAACCTTGTGAACTCTCAAGCTTCCTCTTCCCTCTATGTAATCAAGGTGGACAGTGAATAATGTTTATATGTTACTTATATGTAAAGGTGTAGTAAGTCTACACATGTGTTGTTTATAGTATGTTTAAATGGGTGTTATGTATGTGTGCACTTTGAGAGCAAGCAACTAAATTTCATTTTTAATGTGTGCCATTGTGCCCACAGTAAAAAAAATGACAATAAAGGTTATCTATCTATCTATATACAGAATAAAACATGACACAATAGAATCATACCTAAAAGCGGATTAGATAGGTCTTGACGTACAGGCACAAGTTAGCCCAAAATTTCTGTCGCCATGTGAGACATTTGTTAAGTGAGTTTTGCCCCATTTTACGACTTTTCTTGCCAGAGTTGTTAAGTGAATCACTGCAGTTGTTAAGTTAGTCACCCGGCTGTTAAGTGAATCTGGCTTCCCCCACTGACTTTGCTTGTCAGAAGGTCGCAAAAGGGGATCACCTGACCCCAGGGGACGCTGCGACTGTCGTGTGAGTCAGTTGCCAAACGTCTGAATTTTGATCGCGTGACCAGGGGATGCTGCATTGGCCTGACCCCAAGGAGCAGATTTTCAAAAGGAAGAGGAGGGGGCAGAGCAACAGCTGGTTCCATGTTCTTATTTTGGGAGGGGCTCATCCCTGTTTCTCCTCCTCCCTCCGTCCAGGCACAGATCGACCAGTATGTAGGGCTGGTGAGGAACCAGCTGAGTAGCCTCAGAGCAAAGTAAGTTCACAAAATTCCAGCGCATCGAACGGGGCAGGGCGGGTGGGGAACAAGCCATCTGGAGGCCTCCTTGGGCTCCCTGCTTCCTGTATTGCTGACATAATACTTATTTAATTAATGTATATGCTGCCAACTTCACTGTCGAGTGACTCTGGGCTTAATTTTCTTAAATTATTTTTCCCCTTGGATCCAATATGCGAGCCCGCAAAACACTTCTCAGAAGATAGCTATTTCTGCCTTATTTGTTGGGATAAAGGAAACTGGAATGTAAATTTGGAAAGAAAACATTTTAAAAATAGGGGCAATGCACTGGTGGGATTCAAATAGGTGGACAACCGGTTCCCTGTGTGGATGCCGCTTCCGGAAGTCCATTCTGGGCCTGGGGAACAAAAAATTAGCTCCCGGTTCTGCCGAAGTGGTGCGAACTGGCTGAATCCCCCCACTGGGGCAATGGATCCCAAAGGGTCCAAGAAGTATTGATGTGTTGCTCGACCGAACAGGGTGGGCTTGAACTGAAGCTCTTAAGGCTTTTAACAGGCTTTTAAGAAGGGACTGGACAGCCATTTGTCCAGGATGGCATAGGACAGGGGTGTCCAGCCTTGGCAACTTTAAGACTTGCGGATTTCAACCCCCAGAATTCCCCAGTCAGCTGTGCTAGCCAGGGAATTCTGGGAGTTCAAGTCCACAGGTCTTAACGTTTCCAAGTTGGCTACTCCAGGCACGGGGTCTCCTGCTTGAGCAGGGGGTTGGACTAGAAGACCCCCAAGGTCTCTTCCAACCCTGTTAACTGAAGGTAGACTTGGTAAAATGCTTCGGAAAGTGGATTCCTCCTCTGTCTGTCTGTCTGTCTGGCTCAGTTTCTCTTTTTCTCCCCAGGGTGCTGGCCAAATTGCCGACAGCGAAAGCGAAGGCAGAATGAGGGGTCTCGGTGGCGGTTCTCTTCCCTGCGCACACAGATGCAAAGGACAACGCACACCCTCGCTGCTGCTTCTCCTTCCATTCCCCGCCCCAGCCATTGCAGTAGTGACCCTCCCTCTCCCAGCCCCCTTGGCCTGGAGGGGCTGGGCAGTTGCTGGTTTTCCTTCAGCTCCCCCCAGAAATTGGGGGGGGCAAAAGACCTCCGCCCCTTTGCATCTCAGCCCTGCAGTTGCAGCAGCTCAGGGAGAGACACCCCACCCCCCAGGCCTACAGCCAAGGACTTGTCAACCTGGTTCCGAGGGCTAGTATCCCATGCTCCTTTCTCCCTCCATGTCCTGGCGACTTCTTCCTCCTCCTCCTCCTCCTCCTCCTCCTCCTCCTCCTCCTCCTCCT